GGAACAGTAGTATAAGGCAAGCGAGGCGATGACGTCACGCCAGCAATGCAACAAATGTTTAATTACCCAAGTTTGAAGTGAGCTCTGCAGCGGTGACAATAGTGAGGTACTGCGGACGGGTCTGACCTTTTGCAGCAGCATCAACGGAGAGAGGTTGCTGAGGAGCGTAGAACAGTCCGTGGAGCCATGACTGAATCGAGTGGCGTGAGGTGCAGTGATAGGTGATACAGCATATCGGGTGGAGGTTGGTGGTTCGTTCCCGTTTTGATAAAGAAGGGAGTTTTGCGCGCAGCTGAGCACCTACACTGATGTTACATTCATACTCGTATTTCTTGGTTGATAGTGTTCCGCTATTTGGGACCAGAGGTGGTACCCCGCATTGCCCCCATACATTTTTTTCTATACGAATTCGTCCATATACGAGTTCATTAGTGCCTTTCCTATCCCGTACTGTGACTTATGGCTCATCTTGAACTTCTGCCATAGAGACTCAATGCTGTTTGTGTAAGCATCAGTCCCAGGATCAATACAGTGGGTACTGTGCTTAACAGTCTCATGCTGGTATCCCTCTGGCATGTCCTTGATGGTACTTCATGCAGTCCACTGATCAGACACTATAGTTGTTCCTAAAAAAACATACTGCCTGATCAGTGGCAGAAGGGTAGCAGCATCTCGTCGCTCCACTAGAACGACGAAGCACTTATTGGTCCCTTGCTCAGTGCCCCCAAAACACCAATGCTTTTTTATGACCCTACCTCTCTTGTAGTTTCGCCTGGTAACGAGTGTCTCGTCAATCTCCACTACCTTACCACGGCTCCCGATTTTTAAAGGATGTCTTAGGAAATGATCCGTGCAAACATTTTTAAAATAATTTATGCAATCAACAAACGTCAACTAGAATTGGAAGGAATGCAGCAGCATCGCCACATTGTAAGGTTGGCGGACTCAAAAATAAAAGCTCCAGCACGGGAAGTGGGAGCTAATGCTCCATAGCACTACACTCCCACACCGATACGAGCGTTTTAAGATATACATAAACGTGTAAATAAGCAAGTAGAAACGTTACGGTGGCTGAGCGAAGCGAAGCCCTGCTGCGCCGCCGCTGCCGTCACTCGCTTATTTACTTGT